CCAATCATAAATGCAATTTTATGTAATGCAACAGACTTGCATATTAACCGTTAATATGGTTCGCTCCATCCCTTCTCTCTCCCTCTGCTTCTCTCCCTTTCCTGACTTGAGGCGGGTATTATCATTGTAATCAAGCGAGGACCCGGCTAACACGATCATTCTCTAAACCATCATGTAGAAATAATCCCCTCCTTCATATTTGATTATTGTAATAAATCTTTTTAACCAGCAATTCAGTCACACGGCAATGGCGCACATCTCCCCGATCCATCATTCAGCAGGACAAACGCAGAATTCAGAAGAGCTGCAAAGGTTGGCTAAGGGGCCCGCATTATTTGGTCGCAGCTGTCAGGTCTGCTCTATTTGCTACAGCTCCTGAGTTCAAAATGCGCTTTTTTTTCTCTCTTTCCTTTCACCAACAAACAGAGAACTCTCCCCCTCTGTCTGATAGTGTGATTACTCTGCAGAACTCTCCGTCTGTCCTCTATTACTGACCTCACATCCCCCCATCGGGGTGGATCAAACCAGACAAGGTGTTCCTTCATCCTGTAGTCAGACGCACACGTATCCCCAGAAAAAAAAAGAAACACACACGCACACACATTGTCTGTGGTTTGGAAATTTCAAGGGGCCAATTTGACAAGGCACACCCACCTACTCACAACAAGACACATGCTCACAAGGTGTGCACACATTTGTATGCACTGCACAGCTCGTCTCTCAATAGCTCTCTCCTTCTGTCTCGTTCTCCCTTAGACACACTTTTACGCACACACACACATATACAAACACCACATACACACACAAACAGAAGGCACACCCATCAACAGAAGTCTGATTATCCCGAAATTCTGGAAAGTGCAGAAAGGAGCACAGAGCAGGTCTGACTCATCTGTTTGAAATAGTTCCTTTTTTATTCAAATTTACAAAAAGAAAAAGTACAACAGAAATAAATACACTTTGTTCAGCACGCAATTGTGGAATTGTATCAACATCGTGCAGGAGCAATGAAGTCACGGGGGGAAGGTGGGTGCAGAACCAGTGAGGGTCGATCTGTTTAGGGTCAGAGGCCAGAGGTCATGACCTTTACTCTGCATCTTTGAGCTACATACATTAACTAGATACTAAGGTATCTGTGCCCGTCCTTTAAGTGGAGCTTCACTGTCCTAAGTATCGAGGCTCATTCAGGGGAAGATGTGATAAATGGACCACTTTCCTCTGTTGGTGCACCTAAGCTGGCTAAAAGAGTGAAAAAAAGAGCCACGCAGTGCTGTGGAGACTTCAGGCTTTTATTCTATTTAAAACAACTGATTCAACTAATCACGCTTTTGATTGAACCAATTTGCCGGGCTCAGGAGGTGGGATAATCAGCTCTGTCAAGTGGTTTAGTCGGCACAGCACTCCAGAACTCTGAAATAAGACAAATCAGGAGAATCATCACTTTGATTTTGACCAATCAGCCAAAGCAAAGCTTTGAATCAGCAGAGATGAGACACCTGGAGCCAATCAAGACAGAGGAATAGACCATATAATTAGAACGGTGCACAGGGTCACTTATTGGTATAGCATGCTAATTGCTTATAAAATGTCTGCCTAAAACGATACTGCTCTGAAAATATGGCGACTGTTAATACATGTGTTCTGGGGAAAAGCGGCTCAGAAAGTTTGCACATTAGAGATAAATGCTAGGAAGAACACAGCGCATCTAATTTAGTAATTCTCATTCCTAAACTGGTTCAAGTCATTTTAGGTGCACCGGAGAAATAATCATTCGAGACTTTTTATTCCGCCCGAATGATAAATAAAGGATATCTCTGGTTTTGTTTGTTTTAGAAATGGCTGTTGTAAATTGTAACTGTAATTTTGACCATTATTTCAGCTCACTGTGCTCACCTAACATGCAACGAAGTCAAAACCAGCAGGTTAGGAAGATTAGTTGAAGGCAAATCGGAAAGGAATGCGTGCTTTTGATTGAATCAGTTCTCATTTCCACTTCTACACCCAAAAAGATTCGACCTCATAAAAGAAGCAATCATTTTGAGTAAAATGCAACTGAAATATATAAAATCGAATATGTATTTCCTTATTCAGATAATTAATTATTAAGGAAGATATGCTTAGTATAAACTGAATATATGCCATTCAGGCAGATTTCATCTGACTAGACTTGATTAAATTTAACATTTTACATTATACTCCCTCCTCCTTATGTAATCAAATTACACTGGAAGGAATACATGTAATCAAATTACTTAAAGTCGGTGTTTTGGGTATAAACGGAATGTGTGTTTTTGTATTCATTGGCTAAATGCAAATCAGATCCATCCTACTGCACCTTACAGGGGACTGTAATGCACTTGAAGCTGCTTAGTCACCTCCAAAAATGAGTCAGAAGAACATTAGTGCTTCGTTCACACGGCTCGCTAGGATACGATACACAAAGCAAAGTTCTTTCACCCACATTGATCTTTCAAAATACAAACAGAACAGTGAGCCTTCTTTACGTTTGAGTTCAAATTACTAGAGAAGCCTCTCTGTGTTATTTTGATGCAACATGTTTGTCAAGAGGCCCTCTTGAGAGCTTCTCAGATGCATTAACTCTTAATTAATATAAATGACGTGAATGACTGAAGAAACTGGCAAGGTTCAGTGTTTTTAGCAAAAACTTTCCACCTCCTAGGTCTTTGAAACTAACTTACTACCTGAAGAACAGATATTACTGATGATATAGCAGAAATGAAGACATGTTGTAAAAAACACAACTCAGTCCTCTGAGTGTCTAAAAGTCCAAATATGTTTTGCTAAAATAGCAGGTGAAAGTTTTTGGAGGTACAGTTCATCATCCAAATGAATCCCAAATCAGCTCTCCCTGAGGTTCTGCACCCCCCTCCCTGTCTTCTCTGGTTATTGTGCAGTATATTGGTCCCCACACTGTCCAGTCTGCACAGTGGCACTGTATGGAAAAGTCTGTGGCTCGGGTAAAGGGTAGAGAGACACATATGGATTTTGTTTCATGTCACCGGCTTCTCGACCGGTTAACAAAATGCTGCAGAAGACCTTGACAACAAGATTATGGTGGACCAAACTGGCGGACACTAGCGAAGCTGGCAGCCTGGTGTGACTTTACAAAGAATGAAACAATGACACTTCTGTGATGGCGCGCCAAAGACGTCCATACATTCAAGTTGTGGCTAAATTCCTCTCTGGACTAAAGTAACTTTTAGGCTTAGTCTATGGTGGCCCTGAAAGCCCAAACGCACTGCATCTTGAGGAAACACCAGCAGATAGAAAAATGCCACAAAAGTACACAAAACAGAATGGAAGTGAATAAAACAGAAATTTAAAAAACATTATGAAAGGTTAAGAAATTAAAAAAAACCTCCAAAATAAAAAGACGTAACTCACAAAAGACAATGTCAGTGTTTTTGGGGAGACAATGTCATGACAGAACAGCTAACGTGACAAGCTAACAGTAAACGGCTACTAGCAAACCTGAATCTACGGTATTATGTGAATCTTCTGCTTCTTTTAAACGTGTCTTACTTCATCAGCAGCTGTTTCGTTACGTTGCTGTCGCCCCAAAAACACTTGTTTTTTTCTGGGGTTTTTTGGGTTTTTTTTTTACTTTTCTTGTCATTTGTGAATTTTTGTAGAGTTTTTCTACTTGCTGGTGTTTCCTTAAGTTGCAGCACATCTGACCTCTCAGGGCCACCGTAGCAATAAATACATTATAGAGCTAAGTTGTTCTTTCATGCAAGAAATTTTGCTTATGTAGACCATAATGCATCAGTAATTTGGCATTTGAATTGTATTGCCTGAAATGCACACAAGACACTTTTCCTTAATGTAGTGTTTGTCATATTTTTCAAGAGAAGCAACTATCTATAAAACCTCCACATCTCTCAGGCAGTGTAAAATTTATTATAAATTCTAGATTATTCCACTTTTGCAGGCTATTAATTCAGATTTTAGGGAACACTGACTTTTTTTTATTTTGTTTTGTATACCCATTAGGGGGATTTCTCCTCACTTCACTGGATTTTCATCAAATGGATCTTCACTGGAACAGGTTAGCTCACAGGCTTTCTGTAACTAATATTTTGCACAACAAACTTCTGCCAGAGGCCACATGTATAATTGAATCCTTGGCTTGTCCATCTCAGACAAAGAGCTAGCACACAGCAAACCCAAACACAGATGTTGAATACATGGTGTTGTTTTGAGTCCAGGAGGCAGTCCAGCGCAGTTAATCCATTTCTAATCTACAGTACATACAGGTAATCCCAACAGTGCTCCATTTTCAACATCTAAGTTCTGTTCTAGACATTTTTTATTTTATTTTTTTTACACATTTTAAATTTTATATACTCTCTTTTAGCAGTAATACTTAGTGGTATTTACAAATGTTTTTTTTTTTTTTACATACAGTCAAACATGATATCTTCGTTTAGCTGACATCTTATAAAAGAACTGTAATTTTCGACATGATTCGTTATCTATTATTGAACATCACACAGTATAAAAGTGCATTCCAGCTGAAATCTCCAGCTCATTTGCATCCTGACCTTTTAACAAGAAATAAAATGAAAACGAAAAAGCCTGTCTCTGTGGTTGTGTTTCACTACAATTTCATTAGAGATCTGTGGAAATGTTCCATTGGGCCGTACAAGCGTTTGGAGTGGAAACTGATTTTGTGGGTTTTTTTTTATTGTTGTTGTTGTAAAATCATGCATGTGAGACTGGGGAAGTGGGGTGGGCAAATTAGAAAAAAGCAGACTTCTTTCATAAAAAAGACACATTTATGCCATCAATAACAGAGTCCTCAGAATACTCATGGATTATGTAATTTACTGTAGTACAATCAAAGCCTTGTGGTGTTAATCAGTTCTTTTGTGTCGCCGCGTGTTTGTGTGTGAATCTTTGTAAACATACCAACACTCAACTACAAAATAGCTGGGGGGGATGGGAGGGGGGGCGAAGAACTGAGAGGGTCCGGGGGATCATATCCCTAAACCATTTAAATTTTTCACAATGTCTGTTTTTCCTCGTGGGCTGAGAGGAGGAAGAATCTTTTGCAGGATTTAAATGATTCATCATTTTCATTTGGAATGGAGTAGCAAGCTGAATAATTCACTTTTTCTGCCACTGCAGATGGAATAAAAAGCAACAGTTTCTGTACAATCATCTCACTTCCAAGACCATTTCTCTCTCTATACATCCTTGCCGCCCATTTCCTTTATAGTCAAACATCACTTTCTCCCCCTCCCCTGTGTCTTATCCTACTTTCTAAACTTCGTTGTTAAGTGTTTTTCCCTGCCTCGTCGTCCTGAAAGCTAATGTTGCGGCATTACGCAGCATTAGTCATCAGTCTCATCTCGAAAATTGTCTCTGGGTATTTCGATTTCCCCCTGCCACTCTCTTTTGCTCCATCTCTGTTAAATATGCACGCGTACGGCACGCGCTCGGTTGCGCACGTGTTCTCACGCACTTTTCACTGACTTTTCTCGCACACAAACACGCAGACACTGGGATCAGATCGGCGCACCAGACGTCTTCCTTCTCGCCTCCTGCTGTTTCTCATTCCATACGTGAGAGCTGAATTTAATCGAGTCTTGGATGTTTGAGTTGTTTTTCTCTGTCCAAAGCGTTTAACAAATTGTTGCTGCCCCGAGCAGAAGCAGGCTCTGCATTGTCTCAGTATCTGTGCTCAACCATATCAGCGTTTCAACACTTATTGCTATAAATTACATCAATCACTCCCTCCCCTGCCCTCGCATTCTCCATCCTCCCTAGGCTCATTTTTCTCTGTCTCTTTTTATTACTTTGCCTCTTCATCTTTCTCCCCTTTAACTTCTCTTCACATTATTCGAACTCAAGTTGCCTTTTCATCATCCTTCTTTTCCTCCCCTCTCTCTTACCCCCTTTTGCCCCTATTTGTTTCATTTATATCCTTCCTCAATCTTTCCCCTCTTCTCCAGCCCGCACTCCATCTTTTTTCACTTTCTTCTCAGGCTCCTCATTCATTTCTTTCTCTTTTTTGGCACCCTCGTCAACCTTTTCCTTATCTTCCCTCTCTTTCTCCCTGTCTTTGAAGAGCTGGGCTAATTTCTGGAATTGGGGACCCCACTCTTCCAGCCCTGCCCCCCAATCCTCCTTCTCTGAATCCTTCTCCCCTTCGCTCTCCAGTGAGCTGAGGGATCCAGCCCTGGACCCTGTTCCCTCCAGCCCATACACCTGCACAGAGTCGTATGGCGGCTGTGAGGGATCAAAGGTGACCTGGGCAAGGCGCAGACGTAGGAACTCACCCACTCGCAGTGCCAAGGAGGGACCCCCGTGCCCTGGTCCCCCTCTGGCTGCCTCCATTCCTGGAACCCAGTTGGCCCCAAAGCCCATCACACTGCCATATGTTGCCCGAGGCTGCCCGGGGAAGGGCAAAAGCTGAGGGGTCATATCCCTCCTGCCCAAAACATACCCTCCCATACCTACTCGATCGCGCCAGTCCCCAATAAAGCCAGGTGCTTCTGGGTAGACAGATGGAGTCCCGGTCAGTGATACTCCTCCACTTTCTCTGTCTGGCCTTGCCACCACAAAGTTGCTTCCCATCTCCAGTCCTCCTCTCCCCAGAGTGCCAGCGTAGTCCCTCTGTCCAGATACTTCCCCCTGCAGGACAGTGGCATAGTTGCGTCCACTGGCAGGTGGTTGTTGTTGTCCATCAGTGGAGGTGGTCCCATTTCCATTTCCACCTCCACCTCCTCCTCCACTCCCCCCTCCTGCTCCTCCTCCACCAGAGTCAGATTCAGCCAGACTGCCACATGTGCGTTTGGGGGACATGCCGGTACGAGAGGCCCTGCGTCCTGCCATGGGGAGGGTAGCCGAGTCACACACCCAGCCTCCTACGCCGTGACCCTGACCAATCAGGGAGCCGGATCGGGTCATGACAAGGTTGTGCTCCCTGGGCAATGTCTCCGACTGCACCTGGAGGGAATGTAGGCGAGCACGAGTGGTTTCAGTTCGGGGCTGGGGTTGGGTGTTAGGTTTGGTTACAGTAACATAAAATGGGATGAGACAATTTGCCCAAGGAGGAAGGGGAAATGTAATAACAGGTATATTAAACGTAGAAAGATAAGGAAAAGTGATGACATATTGCCCACGTGAAGGAAAAAAACAGGAGATGATGATGATGATAAAAAGTGATTCACGTGAAGGAGAGACAGACAGACAGACAGTGAGCAGAGGAGAGCGGAGGGAAAGCAGAGTTGGAAGAAGACATAGACATTAATTGATCACTAGAATGAGCTAACACTGCACTGTGATAGGGAGATGGAAAGGGAAGAGATAGAGAGATAAAATATTTGAAAATTAAATAAAGCTAGGGCCAAGGAGCCGTGCCATGGCCCTAATAAATGAAAGCATAAGAACAAAAAGTAAGAATAAAGCAGGATATGATGTGCTGATAATGTCTTTATTGTCATCATCCCCCAACAACGTCCAGGACATTTCTGCGACTGTACAGAGACTAGTGTGGCAGTGCTTTAATCACTGCAGTAGTTCAGTATATTAGTTTGATTTCAAAACCTTATAATGATTTTATATTTGCTTAATGACTTTCTCACGTTTTCGTTTGCGTATTTAATTGAATAATTAAGTCATTGATTCAGCTTTAATGATGTCTTCAATGTGGCCATCTACTGCTAATTGACTAATTTATTCAGTTATAATTAACGATTCACGGCAACGGCTACCGCTTTTTACATCTTATTGAAATATTTAGCCCCCCATCAATCTATGTTTTAAGCTGTGTTGCAGAATGAGTTCCTGTGCTGCATTCAATACAAATATGCAAGTGTGCATTTGAATGATGTAGATGGAAGGACATCAAAATTCTACCAAACAGGAATCTTGGGTTCTCTGGGCATCACTGCTAAATAGTGGCATTATGTTTGAGACCCTAGTGTCCTTCATCGTCTCTCCGTTTCTCTTGCACATTTATTTAAGCTCATGTGTGTTTAGCATGCGTTTAGTGTGAAGCTCACTGTCATCCTTACCCAGTCCACATTTTGACTGAGGTTAACTTTGTCCTCACTGCTCCCTTCTGTACAGTTGCTTGCGGTTCCTGTTCCTCCTCCTCTGTCGTGGCTGTCGCTGGTTCTCGGTGTCCCTCCATCGGACGTGCTCACCCCGCTCTGGGGTGCGGTCCCGTCGCGGCTTTCCGTCCGACTCCCCGTCCGACTTCCTGTGCTGAGATCCGTTGGAGCTATGTACACCGCCCCAGACTCCATCGGCCCGACCACGGCCCCTTGGTTCTGGATAACCAGGGAATGGTCTGGCTGGCCTCCAGGAAAGCGGTACGCCAGCTCAGCTAAGCCTGGCTCGAACGTTCCTCCTGGGGCGCGACGGAGAATGGGTAACGTGTGACTGCTGTAGCAGAGACGACCGTAAAGGGGTCCTGCTGGTCCTGAGTAGTTGTGATCCACACCTGGATTCTGAGCCCAGCTATAAGTGCGAGATTTGTCTTGAGCACGATGTGAGTAACGACTGCAAGACAAAAAAAGGGCATATGATTGGGCTAAATCTGAACATATGCCTGTTTTTGAATACTGCTTGCTGCCCGGGAAATATCTTTGGTCATTTTTTAAACAGGTTTTTCTTTTAAACCATGACTTGTGGTTTTGTGTTGCACTCTATATTCACACTGCAAGATATTCTGCTGAGACATTTGTCCACCTTGGGGTGGGAAAAAATAACCAGGTGAGAAATATGAAGGGTGTACTGTGTGATTTTGTTTGGACTGAAAACTTGTGATTCCATGGATGGAATTTCAAAAGAAAAAAAAAAAGTGATCCAGTGCAGCTAGGGCCAAAATAACCTCTGTTTTAATACAACGTTTCTTTCATAATGAACGCTCCAAATCTTACAGTTCACTCCAAGAAGAACAAGCTACAGCAGCGCTCGACTCAACTATGCGCTCCTTTGTTACATGGCGCCAACAGAAATTAGAAATTAAAAGTCTCACAGAGGTAGTTAATATTGCAGGAATATTGCACTGGATTGCATTAGATTTAGACAGTTTTTCATGTTGCTGTGTCCACCTCCAAAAACTGTGAGAAGCAATTTTCGATCAACTAAAAGCAGCCTTTGTACTTGTTTATGGCCTCTCCATATGGCTTGCATGAATCCGGGAGCTAATTATTAGTCCAAAGGCAATAACAATGTTTCACAGGAACATCAAAGTGGGTGCAAACAACTCTCTGATGTAGCAGAACATAAATGAGTTTTAGCAAAATGAGCACAACAAAGTGGCCTCCTAGGACTGCCAGGCTTGATAGCCTTCTGTTTGAGTGTTTTGATTGGTGGCTGATTATGACCTGGGAGTTGTGGCTTAAACAGTTACTTAAGTGGATCAGTTAAGAGCTGGACTGCGACGAATGGTTTCACTCTGAAGGCGTAAATAATATTTTCTTTTCAGCATGTAATGAAAGGTCCGCTGTGATGGTTTGATTAAATTAAAAACAGACCCATTTATATATATATGCATCACCACATGCAAACAAACCCTCCCACACACCCCTCCGCCTGCTTACACGTTCCTGCTGTCCAGCGTGCGATAGCCGCGTGAGCGCGAGCTGTGCGGGGCACTCTGCAGGGCGGCAATGTCGAAGGCAGCTGTGTCGGCCTCGCCTCCGCCCTCGTCGTCATACGTTATGATGTTCTCGCGTACGTCGTCCTCCTCCAGCGGTGACAGCGAGTCGCGCTTCTGACGCCGCAGCGACAATGACAGGGCACTCACCGCTGCCGAGGGGTGGCAACGGGAATAACGGATATTGAGGCATAGGAGAGAAATTGGAAAAAGAGTGATGAACAAGGGAGAAGGGGGGGCAGAAGTCACAGGGGAAATAAAGGAAAGGAGGAAGAGATGTGTGTGTGTGAGCAAGGGAGAAAAACTCAAGCAGACAAAGAGGTGAAACACACAGAGACAAAACGAATACAGAGAGTCCTTGGGTTAGAGGGCTGGTATATCATATCAGCAGACTGCATGCCTCCACTAGGTAATTGACTTTGAGCTCCAGCCAGCCAAATGGATGCTTTATTGTCCCATGACTCCATGACTCTTATTGCATATTCCCAATATCGAGAGCTAAATTTCACCCTGGACTGTGGCAACGAACCAAATGATGCCTTTGTGACTTTTAACAGGTTTGCAAACACAACATTAGCATTGGGCAGTAGAATCAGCCTTCCCATACCCACTGACATCAAACTCTGGGAACAGTGGCTTTTTTTTTTTTTTTCATTTCAATTTTCCAGGGGAAAGGCACAGACGCAGGTCTAGATTAGGTTCCTGCACTAGGATCGAGTTGGTAGAAAAACAGATACAGGACACCTATGATAATAGATTTAGTATGCTTATTAAGTGGGGGAAATCCTATTCTTGCATGTGCTGAACTTTCTGGATGCAAATAGGGAGAAAATGAGAACCAAGCTGAAAAGTAAATTTTAAAAAAGAGTGCATAAATATTCAGGAAGGCACCCGATCCAAATAAGACCCCAGTCAGAAATCAGGGACAAGAAGAAGAAGCATCCGGTTAAAGTTGCTGCTGGTACACCTGTGGAAGGTGACACCTTTACCAATAATTTCTCTCATTATTGGCTTTCCAGTTCATTTGTACATTTCAAGGATGCAATTTTTTTTTTCCACTCCAATGTAGAATTTCTGAGTGGACAAGTTGATCAACTCTCTGAATTTGGACCCTCACAGGTTACTAGAAGGCCAGTTAGTTGATCGACTGACATTGCCCATATTTTTTTCTTAATATATTCCACTCACTCGCTCTTAGACAGCTCTCCCTATCATTTGGACAAACTGCTTTGGTATTTATAGAAATCCAAACCGTGCTGAATCTGCTCGGGTGCTTATTTATATTTGCAGTGTATGATTTGATTTAACAAACACTAATGTGCTTGTGTTTCCATACGGCTGTATCGCAGGAGGTTAAGCTGCCGCGGTAAGTAAATCTACAGCCTTAATATAGTTGGAGGCCACATTATTTGATTTCTATGGAACTAATTCAATGATCCCTAAATGGAGTGGGAAAACTCTAACCTTTTATAACAGTTTGAGGAATAACCTTTATAGCGTGGTGCGTGTATATTTATCTGTTAAAGACAGCCTCTATCCACAGGGCAAAGTTGCCAAATGGCTCAATGGCTACCTCGTGTAAACCCCGCTCCTTTTTAATAACTGATGGAGGTTCTTTAAGGACGTTTGGCATTCTGTGGAAGGCCCTGTTAAATTAGTGTTTAGAAATAGAAAAAGCAGAATTATACTCCCGCCCACAATCATGCCATTATCACTTAGCGAACTAAATTCTTAACTCCACTAAATCCACTGAGCACGATCACCTTCACGCCATGTCGCGTCTCCCACTTGATTGAACTGGCCCCTTCCAGAATGATAATGCCTTTATCAACAAGGCACGAGTGATTTCAACAGACTCAATAGAAATGACAATGATGCTGGCTATCAGCCAGTCTCCTCAGCAACTAGGCATTATCCAATTGAGCATTTGAGTTTCTGCAAAGGTGGCTGTGACATTTTATTATGCTGCTATCAAAAACCGGAGGGCCCAGATAATCACTCAAAATTGTTATTTTAGCTGTGATTAGAGCTGACCTTGCCAAGGGAAATAACTGGACCAAAATTGCGAGGAAAAGCAAACCTGTATCGAGCAGCTGTGACTAAGAGAAATATTTACGCTGCTGCTTTCATTATTTTCATATGCAGATTAAGCATCCAGGGATGTAGTTGAAGGTACACAAGCCCTAAACGCTATTTACTCAACTTTCTATTTGTAGAATGGCATTAAATGCATTTCTAGGGAGTAAATATTTATGATATAACTTCATATTATATCATAATGTACATAACACTAAGTGCTGTTATAAAAGCCATCATGTAAATTATATAAACAAGGGCCTTTCACCATTTTACTTTTGCTTTTGGCATTATCTTAAGCCAAGCCCAGATTTAATCTCTCTCAAGCTTTATGAGCTATTAAGTATTTACCCAGTAATGTAGCAACACAAGCCAGGATAGCCAGCAAGGCAGCTGTACTGAGCCCAGGGGAGGGCAGTGTGGACTGCTGAGGAAGACACACCGCTTCTTTCTCCCAGTCCCATTCGCCCTCGGTCTGTTTGTCCTTGTCTTTCTCCCCAGCTCGTGCCCCTCCTTTCAGGCAGGGACAGACGGACACAGTGACCGTCCCAGTGCTGGTGAGGCCAGACGTCCCATCCCTCAGGACGAGCGGCACGTAGAGGGTCAAGGTGGAGGATGAGGAACGGGACAGTGGCTGGATCTGGGACAGCAACACCAAGCTGGCTGTGGGGCCTGAAGGAGAGTTGACAGATAGGAAGAAACTTTGAGTCCACTGTTAACCGCATGTTACAGTGTTGTTTGCAGAATGGAGGCAGGACGTTCCAATTTGGAAATTATGCCCAGAAATGAATGTCCTCATGTTTGCAAATGTGCGACTGCAGTCAGCTGGTGACGGGTTTGTACCACAAAGGAATTGAGCAGGAAAAAATATTTAGCCTCTCTTTTATTTTTACTATTTTCGTTCACTTCCCTTCTAATTTGAGCTACAGCGTTCCACAGCAGAATAACAGTGATACTAATTTTACAGGATGAATCTACTAGAGTGTTACAAATTGGGCAGACAGTATATTTTTCGCTGCCGCAGCCAGACGCTTCATGATTTATGGCTCCAGATAGGCTGTAAAACTTAAACATAAATTCTAATATACTTTCACGTTTAAAATTATTGTTTGAATAATGTGGTGCCATTAGATCCATCTGTATGATCCTTTTCAAAGACTCCCACACTTGTCCTGGTTAATGACACACCAAAGTATGTACAGAAGAAAGCCTGTACATCCAAAGCACTGACTTTTAGAACACACTTGTATGAAAGGAATACATCACAAGCCCGTTTTTTTTTTTTTAAAAGATTGTGTAATGGACATCAGTGATGAGAGGCTCACATACAGCAATTTAAAAGGACAGAGAGCAGCAATAACAAAAGAGGTAACGGCCTGTATTGATCTGACTCTCACTTTTGAGAAAAAGAACTGCGGAGGATCTGTGTGGGAGACGTTTTTAGAATTACACACACAAGGCCACAAAAATATAGCCGCTGACACGAAAGCAGGTTTTCATTAGCATGAATGGCACTGGGAATGAAAACATGACAAACGCGATTATCAAAAAGATCTTCAGCGATCCAAAAGATAGATCAAATCATTGTCTTTTTAAACAAAGAAAGTAATGTAGCATTTTGTCAGACAAGCTGTCCACACGGGAGCTGAGGATGCTCTTATTGTCTCTCTGTTCTACTGTTGGATGACACATCAAAGAGGTCTTTGATTTCACATGTCACTGAGTTTATAATACTCATCCATGATCTGGCGAGTTAACTTGGTTTTGTCTGGTTTAGGAAGAGTTGGGAGTTTGGTCAACAGTTTGGTAGTAAAATTAGTCAAAGAGTAGTCGGATCTTCAGCTGCTGACGAATGTAAGCACATATCTTCATCTGGGAGGGGTGGGGAACTCCAGGCCTCAAGGCCCGGTGTCCTGCAGGTTTTAGATATCACCCATACCAGGCCTCTGGAGAACTTCAAGACATGTTGAGGAGGTAATTTAGCCTTTTAAATCAGCTGTGTTGGATCAAGGACGCATCTAAGACCTGCAGGACTCTTGAGTCCTGAAGTTCCCCCACCCCTGTCTTAAGTTCTATATTTAGCATATTTTAGCTAATACAGCTAACTTAGTAGACAATCAAAGCATTTTGCAGCTAAAATGCAGGTTTTTTGGTCAGAATTAATGGAGAACAAAACAAAGTACTATGACGTAAAATGAGAGTAAATGTTATCCTGTGTTTGCTGGATTTTCAGTTGGATGTTTTCAAATTCCCCGTATTTGCCATATTGTGTTTACTGATGAAGTCAAGGCTGAGAAATTTGTTGCCAAGCTACACTCACAGACCATTAGTTACATCATGCTACTTTTTCCCTCCAGAACTGCCTTTATTCTTCATGGCATAGATTCAACGAGGTGCTGGAAGCATTTCCACCGAGATTTTGTTCCATATTAAAATGACGCACATTTGTCAGCTGCACCCACGATGTGAATCTCCTGTTCCATCGCATCCCAGAAGTGCTCTTTTTGATTTAGATTTGGTGACTTTCATGTTGTTTACGCCAAATTTTTACCCGACTACCTGGATTTTGCAGCAGAACTTGAGACTCATCACGCTAAGCAAAGTTTTCTTTTTAATCTTTTATTGCCCAATTTTGTAGAGTCTGTGAAAGCTGTAGTCTCAGTTTCTTGTTCTTAGCTGACAGGAGAGGCACCTGGGTTGGTGTGGTAGCCCATCTGCTTCAAGGCTGACCGTGTTGTGCATTCAGAGACGCTCTTCTGCATACCTTGGTTTTAACAGTGCTTGGGAGTTACTGTTGCTTTCCAATCATCTTGAAGGAGTCTGGCCTTTCTTCTAAGGCCTCAACAAAGCAACCCTCACTATTTTCTCTTTTTCAGGTGGGGGGATTCAGATTTTGTTGCATTATTTCAGTACATCAGAATTCTCTGCCGCATTCAAAGTTACTTAAATCACCTTTTTTCCCCATTTTGACACTCGGTTTGAATTTCATGTCAACACTGAATGTCATGTGAGTGGCTGATCAGAAAACATGTGTGTTAATGAGCACTTGAACAGGTATACCTACAACTAGTACACATGTTCATGTGTCCAAGGCGTGCACATGGAATACTATATTATACACTTCAATATGCTACTGACATCTTTAGCTAATATGACGCACAAATCAAACTTTCAAGTGGAGAGAGATGAGCTGTGTGCAGAATGCATAAGCACACATGAAAGTATTCTGTGGAGTTTTTATCCGCTAGTGGTGCAATGTTTTGATTTGCATTACTGTCCTCAACTGCAACTGTGCAGCACATATCAACTGAAGAGCTTCACCGATTTCATGCTGTTCCACAACAGTTATTGTGTCAAAGGAAAAAAATGTAGCAATGCAGAAGCAAAGACGTGAAAAGAAAAAAGAATGCCAGCTGATGTAATCAGGCCTGCACTCTTCCAAATATTGAAAAATGTCACTTTTGCAAATGTTTGATCTTTTATCCAGCACGCCGTTAAGGCTTCAAGGAAGCAAACACTGTGTTTTTGCACTGACTCAAAGTATGTGTTTACACGAAAACTCCACAGGTGACACATAATTGCAAAAAAATGTATTTGTGAGCCAATTATCTTGTTTTTGTGTAGAGAAATGTAAATGTGAGCTAAGACAACAAAATTCTTGTGGATCCAATTTTAGGAGACTACATATTTGCTCAAGGATGCAAAAATATCCCCACACATACACAGCTTGATGTGAACAGTTACACAGAACCGGCAGCACATTGCATCCCTGAATTAAAATAGTCATATCAAATTTATGTTTGCATGATATTAAAGGACTATACGTGTGTAATTGTGCAAAACAAAGAGCGAGGACACGAAGTGTTCAGGGGGAAAAATGCACAGAAAACAAACAAGTAGCTAAATTAGATTCAGTTGACGCTAATTAAACGAAGCAGCTTTGATTTCTCCAAAAGCTTCTCAGTGGAAATACTAAGTTTACATGGTCGTGGGGAAGAAGATGGATGTAGAGGATACAACAAGAGGGACGAAACAAAAGAGGGGAGGATAACAAAGCAAAACAATGGGGCCACCAGACATGGGAGATGGATGGTAGGAGACAGAGGGAGGGACAGAAAAAGGGAAGGCGACTCAGAGAGGGAGTGGTTTTGAGAGGAACGGGAAAGAGAGAATAGAAGGAAAGCTGAAGATGGGGAGAGAAAGGCAGAAAAAAATATATATGTGGGATTAAGGGCCTTAGAAAAGTGGGGGGAGAAACAGTCTATCTGCCAAGGGAGGAGCAGACAAACAAGAATTAAGAGAACTACACAGAGAAGGAAAGATTGAGTGCCTACCACCGCTGTCCCTGACGCTGAAGTTGAGGGCAGCGCTGGACTCTGGAGGGATGCTGAAATACACGGTGCTGTCATTCCCACCCTCATCTCTATCAATCGCCCGCAACACCTGCACCACCTGAAACACAGAGATAGAGAGCAAGGGAGACCGGGTGAGGGGAGGGCGTGAATGAATGTGTGTGAGTGCGCGTGTGTTTGTGTGTTTTGAGGAAAAGCATAGAGAGAGAACAGAAAAGGAGGAAGAAAAAACACTTACACAGAGAGAGCTTTTAGCTACAT